TCAAAATCGCCACTTTTATGGTGGCTTGTAATGAAAAAAATATTCTGTCCGGATGACCAATTAACGACTGTCACATCACCCGCCGATAAGATGCATGATAAAATAACGCTCGATGATTAGCAGTCCGGACATAAAATATCTATGTTCGGGCAAAATATTTTATCCTTAAGAGTTATCGTGCTTTGCAGAAAAATATTACATCATGATTTCTAAAGTAGAGCTATGTTCGGAGTCCACTGATACGCGGAAATGTGGAGGTGATAGAAAAATTTAAAAAAAAAAATCGTTTTAGCGCAAAAGAATATTTCTTCCGTGTTATTCTACATTATTCAGGTGTTATTATGGTAGTATTCATGTGTTATTGTGTTCTGAGAATATTCTCGGTGTTATAATAACACAATAACACATCAATACCACCACAATAACACCTGAATAATGCAGAACAACACAGGAGGAATATTCTCCTGTATTACCCAGCCGAATCACGGGAAATCGCTCGTGTTTCCTTGAAGTCACGTGTCCGCATATCAGTGAACTCCGAACGAAGCTCTACTTCATGAGTCCTTATGGAATATTTTTTCATGCTTTAATATTCTCTCTGGATGACCAATTATCGACTGTCACATCACCCGCCGATAAGATGCATGATAAAATGACGCTCGATGATTAGCTGTCCGGACATAAAATATCTATGTTCGGGCAAAATATTTTATCCTTAAGAGTGACCGTGCTTTGCTGAAAAATATTACATCAGGATTTCTAACGTAGAGTTACGTTCGGAGTACACTGATATGCCGACATGTGGAGGTGACAGAAAAATTTTAAAAAAAAAATTGTTTTAGCGCAAGAGAATATTTCTTCCATGTTATTTCGCATTATTCATGTGTTATTATGTTGGAATTCATGTGTCATTGTGTTTTGAAAATATTTTCATTGTTATAATAACACAACAACACATCAATACCACTACAATAACACATGAATAATGCAGAATAACACAGGAGGAATATTCTCTTGTATTACCGAGCCGAAGCATTGGAAATCACGTGATTTTTCTTAAGTCTTGTATCTGCATACTAGTGAACTCCGAACGAAATTCTATTTTATGAGTCCTTATCGAATATTTTTCCGTGCTTCGCAGGGTATTCTACGCAATGCAATGATTTGATACGTGCAAACTCCAATTTTTTAATTTATTTATTTAGATCCGGAAATTGCAGGTACGCCGCACGCTGTCATCGCATGATTTTAAACAATAACGTTTTTTACCGTACTTGTGGTCTATTTTAAAAAGTTTAGATAAGAAGTGTAATTTCTTATTTTTGGGGGGGGGAAATGCAAAATATAAATTTAGAGGACTGAAATGGCTAGAAGTGGGCCCCACGTTAGTCGTTGGGGGTAAGTGAGCTATGGGGTTAGGTACGTTAGTTGTCAATGGTTGACATAGGTGGCTTGCTGGCGTCATAGATGACGTCATTAAAAAATTAAAATTTCTTTTTTTTTTTTTTTTTTTTTTTTTTTTTTGCGGCTGCCGTCAACGTCGCCACGTTGGATTTTGAAAGGGGATGCGGCCAACAAGAGCAGTTCTCTGTACCATCCAAAAACATGATGGAAAATTTACATACATATCACTTAATTTGTATGTATTTATGTATCTAGCACCTAAAAATCAATATTTACATATATGTCATCTTATTTATACACGAAAAAGATATATGCGGCTTTTTAGTTGTGATTTAAAAGAGTTTTTTTTATTACATATCAAGATTTTAAGAAGTATATATATTTTGTTAGATCAATAAATATTTTCATAAAAGTAGTCTCCTACATGGTTGCAATTTTCTATTGGCATTATTCAAATTTCGCTAGGTGATTTGAGTGTTATCATACTCGTTCTTTTAGCCTACAGTCAGTAGTCATAGATTATAAAGGGTTTTAATATTTTAATTCGTCAGATTAAAGGTAAAGGAAGATAAGAAAAAAACTCACTAACGTGCAATTAATTCCTAAATGTTCATTTATCAAGAGTGTTCTTGGGCAACACCCAAGAAGTAATTAATCAAATGGGATACGTCATCTTGGGAACACTTTGGACCCCAAAACAGGCAAACACACCTGAATTTATGGTTTTGGGTAGCTTTTGTAGGCATGCTTTCACAGTTATTTGGCGCAAGCTATTTCGGTCTGATCTTGTTCGTGTGTATATGTTTGGCCTATCCTAACGATGTTTGCCCTCACGTAAGTTCACCACATTCTTTTTCTTGTTTGTATGTCTTTGTTTTTTCTTCTATTTTCATTTCTTCTTTTCTTCTGATCATTCATTTGAACCAGAAGAAAGACTTATTTGGAAAAGAGAAGTATACAATGATAGATAAACTGCGACTCCTTCAAAAATAAAAAAAAGAAAGGAATGAAAACGCATGCCATTGAAACCTTATATAGGCATTAATAAAATGATAAATGTACACAAAGAATTATTAGTTATAAGAAATAAAAACAATGTACATTTGAATTAGCCTATGAATTTAAATAATGAGATAAATTTAGGGTAAAATAATCTCTACAAAATAATATTCGATTAGGAATAACTTCTAAAAGATTTATTTTTGAAATCAAGTTTATGATATATTGTCTTTAACACATTTCACAATTATGATTATAAAAAATATAAAACAATCATTGGATTATCAAGAACTACTGAAATTATTCAGGTCAAACAGATTTTGAAACTAACTTTGTGGCATCCTCTATATATTATCAAGAAAAAAAGAAAGAAAAAAGTTATCCTCTATTATCTAATAATTATGAAATCTTAAAGTGCTAAGGAAAGAGCATGTGGAATGAACTCGCTATTTTCTACTAGGTCTGTAATAATTTAATTTTATTATGAGAGCATTCAATTGTTGTAATCATCTTGTGCTTTCATTGCCAATGTTATCGTCTCTTTCTTAGAGTTTAACGCCCGTCCAAACATCTAAGACTTGAACGAAGATAAGGACTCATTGAGCATTAGAATGCCCTGTTATTCTATAACTACTTAGGAAATGTTTTATTATCTTCAATCGATTTAAAAAC